AACACAATGATATCAATAGTTATATGATTCATGATAGTTTAAAATTGAGTTGGTCATCTAAGGATAGGTCATTAAGGTTTGAATGAATTGATATGAAATTCAATACCAATTATTGATATACCATGATTAATTGATCTATATATGATATTGTAATTGAAAGATTTTAAAATTAATATGATTTGATTATCTTGACATTTATAATTCCCATGATTACACTCCTGACATGTTGAATGATTTCAAATTGTCATGAAACTGATACAGTAGTGTTTATTCACCATTAGTAAGGTCCTGTACCAGTTTCATGATGATCTGTATAGTGGATGTCATTGTCACATCCCTATAGGTATCAAGTGGATCAGCCATGTACCATGTATGATATGGATGAATGTCAAAATGATATTAATGTATTTAATTATCATGTATATATGTATTGGAAGTGAATTGAAGTGGTATAGATTTCTATCTTCAATGTTAGTATAGGTCAGTTGACAAGTTGAATAGTAAATTTCTTGAAATGATACCAAAGTATTTGAAACTGATATATTTTGTTATTGACATGATTTATAAGATGATATATTGATTTGAAATGATTTTGAAATGTTTTCATTGATATTCTAATTGTCTAATCTATTATATGAAATTAACTTATATAAGTCATTATAATGATGTAACATTATGTTATAATATGATTATATATTCAATTTGGAGTATATTGATATATAATATATTGATTTATAATGAGTATTTATTGAGATAATTAATTAAGATGAATAAAAGTCAAAATGTTGGGTCTGACCTTAGTCGTGGGTTTGGGTTTGGGTTTGGGTTTGGGTTTGGGTTTGGGTTTGGGTTTGGGTTTGGGTTTGGGTTTGGGTTTGGGTTTGGGTTTGGGTTTGGGTTTGGGTTTGGGTTTGGGTTTGGGTTTGGGTTTGGGTTTGGGTTTGGGTTTGGGTTTGGGTTTGGGTTTGGGTTTGGGTTTGGGTTTGGGTTTGGGTTTGGGTTTGGGTTTGGGTTTGGGTTTGGGTTTGGGTTTGGGTTTGGGTTTGGGTTTGGGTTTGGGTTTGGGTTTGGGTTTGGGTTTGGGTTTGGGTTTG